TGCAGTTCCAAGCATACATGGATGGGGTTTAATAATTCCCAAGACATGGATTTGAGTACATATGGTCCTCTATCAAATATTCCTTATTCAAGTCCATCAGGTTCTTGCTCAAAAATGAGTGACTGAACCAATTGTCTCTGTCCTGACCAATGGCATGGGTTCCTTCCCAGTGTGGCTCTCAGAACAATGCTTCCATTTTCCAGTTCCCTAAGATTGCCACAGGAGGTTTGACTGGCATCTCCGGAAGAGCAATGTTGAACACAGGTGTTTCCATCCCTCAGAAGATTGGTGGGCTCTCTCTTCCCAAAATGTCCAGAACATTTTTATGCTGACAAGGAGGCTTCCCACACATTTTTCAGAGACAGGGCAACTTCATTCCTTAGCAGCAGCATGACCCTGACCACCTATGACCATCTGTGTCAGTCTGGGGACTTTAGAGAAACAAACACACAGAAACTCATGTATGAGAGAGAGTTTTATATACAGGGTAAGTGCACATCAAGAAAACATCCAAACCCAGTGCTGTCCAAGCCCACAAGTCCAACATTAACCCATATGTCTGACACCAATCCACAAAGTCCTCCTCCATCTCACAAAACACACACAATGAGGCCAACTGCAGGAGGAAAGCCAAGTCAGTGAATGTGTAAGCATCTCAGCACTGGCAAGGGTCTCCACACGGCTGCTCCAGCACTGAGGCCTACATCGGGGTAGGTCCATGTGGCTTCTCCTCAGGGATGTCTTGCAGGACATGTCCTTGCCAGCTGAAGCAGGGAATTGGCTAAGGCAGCTGCACCCTGGTGCGACCATCACAAAGCAAGAGACCCAAGAACTCGAAAGGCAAGGTTCACCAAGCCATTTATCCCTCCACCCTTCAACTAACCCCACATGTGTTTATTGGCCAGGTTGGCAAAATAAACATTAACTATCTCACCATTACTCTCAAACAAAAATCTGGGTATGTGTTGGAGAGAAGATTAGACTCTTCATATTCTCTATGTAAGGCCCTAAAGAACTGGGAACACAAAAAATGCAAAGCTTCAAATTAACAGCATAATCAATTTTCCTGACATAATCCAAGGACAAGAGTATTACAAAAGGATAAGTCCAGGGTTATGACAATGCCTTCCTGCCAAGCATCACCAGGAATACACAGAGTTGGGTGCTTGCTGATTGCAGTGAAAGAGCACCCAATGTGGAAAGTCACGAGGTATATTAGTATGGGAGTATTAGAAAGGATTTTCTATTGGACCTGGATATGTGTGTGTTAGACAGGGTTCTCTAGAGAGACAAAACCAGATTGCTGATCATTTTATATATATATATTTATAAAGATATATATAACACAAGAAATGAACTGTTAAATTATAAACAGATAGATATATAACACAAGTAATGAACTGTTAAATTATAAACAAATAGATAGATATATAATACAAGAAATGAACAGTTAAATTATAAAGCAGTACAAATGGCTCAGTGTAACTCACTCCCGTGAGAGAGTTGTGAGACACTAGCAGTCCCTCAAGTCTTGAAGGCCGTCTGGTAGTCCTCTGTAGAGAGAGAGAGCTAAGCTCTCCCAGCACAGGCAGCAAAACAGCCAGGCAGGTCACCAACTGTCAGTCAGGACACCAACTGTCAGTCCTCAGCTCCAGAGATGTAAATTTCAATCTTGTGGTCTTAAAGGGACCTCAACTTACAGCGACACAGTCCTCAGGCCAGGTGTCCCACAGGTAGTGTAGCCTGTAAATTGAGGCACAGAACAAGCAAGGCAGCCGCACACTGGTCCAATGATTAAAGAGCGAGAGACAAGAAAGGCGAGGCTCACTGAGCCATTTATCTCTCCGCCCTTCAATTAATCCCACTTGTGTTTATCGGCCAGGCTGGCACAATAAACTAACTATCTCACATGGATATGTGTTAGATGATTTGGGAAAGAATACAAAGAAATATCACTTTCTTCTGTATTATCAAGAATAGAGGACAATGCTAAGATTTGGTACTAATAAATCTTTTCCATAAGAAGGAAGAATAGATCAAGGCTAAACTATAAATGGTAAAGCTACAGTAGTCAGTCATTCTTGAGAGATTACAGAATGGCTGGCATTTTTGTGTTTGTACAATATCCATGTTCTTGTCACATGGAATCAGTCATGATTACAGAATAGCCTTGTTTTTGTTTTGACCCATTACAGTCAAAGAACTTTCTGATCTGTCGTTGATGCTCCTTAAATTTGGTTATGGGAGAATACTGAGGTCTGCTAGTGAGTTCAGGCTAGTTCCTAGAAACACCAGGGCCTAGAAGATAGTAGCAGGTCCATTACTAGCTGTCATTTTTATCAGAAGAAAGGGGCATAAGCTAGCCTAGGAGATTATGAATTACTTCCATGAGGAACTAATGTTTAAATTAACAGTTTCAGAATTAAGAAGCCCTTTATTGCAACAGACCTGTGGATTTATTTATCCTTTTCCTCAGCATATTTTTACCCACCAGCACTATCTTACCTTTCAAGAGAAATATTCCTGGAAAGCATAAGGTCAGAGTCAACTTCTCGTATGATTTTTAACTTTCTTTTGTACAAAACCAGCCCCTGGCTATGCAGTGATTATGAGTAGTATATATTAGAGAGCAATTGTTACACAATAATATAATGATAAGTAATGATTGTGTTAGCCTGGGTAGACTAGAGAAACAAATTCATAGATATGCATATGTATATAAAAAAGAGCTTTATATAAAGAGCAATTGTGCAGTAAGAAAACATCCCATTCCAGTCTAGATCAAATCCCATATGTCTGATACCAATCTATAAAGTCCTCTTCAGACTCGCAAAACACATACAATGACACTGAATGCAGGAAGATCACAGGCCAGCAGGGGGGAAGTCTTGTGGATCCAGTGGTATTATAAGCATCTCAGCGCTGGCAGGGGTTTCCATGTGGCTCCTCCAGCTCAAGGCACGTGTAGCTCCATGTGTCTTATCAGATACAGTGTCTCCCATGGAGTCAGTGTGTGTCCCGCCATCAGCAAGCTTTTCATCTCCTTAGCACCTCCAAATGAGGTCATCAAGTTATGACCTGATTTACAGGCTAGACTCCGTCCTTCACTCTTCACTCTTCATACTCTCATATTGACAACAGATTGTATAACTACCAAAATGATACTATATTAAAACAGAGCCAAATGTTTAAAGATATCTTAAGATTGTTTAGACAATATATGTATTGTATATTGTATATTGTATCCCTCTCCAAACTGTTTTCTTGTTATGAAAAGGGAAATATTTAAAATGAAATAATGTGACAGTTAATGAAGTGAGTTTGGTCGGTACTTGAAGAAAAGGAGAAAAGCACATAACTTTTTTCTCACTTGACCTCTCCTGGAAGTTCAGTTTAGCAAAGCACCCTACAATTCTAATTCCTAATGCCGCGAAGGGGTTTAGGTAGTTCATTCACAGACATCAAGTCAATTCCAACTCATAGCAGATCTCTCGGATACCGAGGCTGTGAATTGTTATGGGAGCAGAAAGCGTCATCTTCCCCATGCAGAGCAGCTGCTGGTTTCAAACTGCTGATTCTCCAGTGAGCAGCTCCATTGAGCAGCCCATTACATCCTCAGGGCTCAGACTAATGCTTTTTAGTTAATGTTTTGAACATCCCATTTGCTAATGGGCTGAAAAATGGAAGATTTAAAGAACATTTTTCTATTATCTGGGGGGGGGGGGAAGGGCGTGTGTTGGGGGGTGGGGGGACCACCAAAAACAAACCTACTGCCATGAAGTCCTCTGAAAATTGGCTATGAATACCTGCTTGGAAAAATATGTGTCACTCAACCCCAATCATCATCGCCATGAGGAATAATCTGCAATGAATAACCTAGGCCATATCCATCTACATATGGCTTGGAAATTTGGATGTTCAATGAAATGCTTACTTTAAATACTTGGTACTTAGAGTAAAATATGCTTATCAGGTTATTTTCTACCGGCCATGAAGAGGTAGTCCATTGAAACAGCTGAAAAAGTAATTTTGTTCTCTTACACATAATTCTGATTCAATATCATCAAGTACTTCTTGCAAGTGCTTTTCTTTGTGAAATCTAGTGCTGGTGGCTTTCCCGTGACCACTGGGCAACACTGTGTTGGTACAAATATTAATATCCCTTGTGTGGGGAAGAACCATTAGGAATATATATTGTTCCACGTATGACATTTTGGAAAGCACAATCCTGCTAATAGTGAGAATCCCAGCATACAAAATTACACAATCTCGTCTCAGACCAAGAGATAATCTCCAAAGTGCATAATTTACTGGAGATTCAGAAATGCTAAAAATTGTTAATTTAGACCTCAAAGCACATAAATTTGTATAGCAGAGCCCTTTAATGGATATGGTGTCTGAATATAGTTTACATGCAAATCAATTTCACAGGCACTCATAAAAATGTCTGTGTAATTACAGAGTACCAAATGCAATATACAGCATCTAAGAACTAGCCTGAAAATACAGGGGCTAATTACCATCTAGGATATGAAATGGCAAAAAGAACCAAGGAATCAAATCTGTTCCCCCTAACACGTTCAGCAGTGTGAGTCTAGAAGTTAAAGCATCTTGAAATGTCACATTTCATTTATACTGCTAAATATTTGTCAACATATCGTATAGAATCAGACATTTTTAAAGCCTATAAATTCTACCAAAATGCTGCTAATTACAACATACACAGATTGAAAGAGCAGCTACTCTAGCAGAGGATCGATAGAAGTCAGCTGGCAAAAAGGCCACACTGACCAGGAGCCTCTGAAGCGTATTTTCTTTTTATCCACGGTGCATTCTCTGGTGTAGTTTAAGTGAATCGATTCAATGTTTCTGCTTTTGTAAATAATTACCTTGTTTTCCATTTAAAAAGAGAAATAAAGAGAGGTGAAAAACGATGTGGACACCATTGTGGGTATTTTATTGTGGTATACACCCAACAATGTAGACGAGACTGTTAGTTGTTATCTGACGTACCAAACATAGATAAACAGTGAAGCCGGCTCCAGACTGTCACCTGACTTTCCAAACAGAGGAACACGACGGTACCCTGCAAAGGGAATTTATGTAATTAGAAGAATAAAAATAAATTAGCCAGAGATGTCACTACTATTGAGAAAATAGACAGATTTAATAAGCATACGTGATAAACCCTAACTGGGTTCATAAGTTTCCATCTTTTATGTTAAGCTTTCCACAAAATTAAACCCCTTGCTATTTCTATCCTGATTTCCTACTGCCTTACCCACTCACACATTGCCTCTCTCAAAGTATACAGCATTCCAAAATCAACTACCACCCATCCATTTCAGGAAGACCCTGTATCCTAGATCCATCTCAGCTAGTGATAAAAGTGTAAGCATTTGGGGAACCAGAGGACCCATCCAGGCATGGTGGCTCTGCAACCTGAAGTCAAACCCTTCAAAGGGTCTACAAAGGACCGTTTGGGTTCATAGTCTGTTCTCAAGCAGAAAAAATGAACCCCTGCTTCTCTCTTTTGGATGATCCCCGTCCTTTGTTTCTTTTTAATACCCATGTCTACACTCCACTGAACCCAAAGACATATGACCTCTGTAAAGAAAGGCTTAAACATGCCAAATTTGCCTAATGAGTCTTCCTAGAAATCCCCAATCTCTGCTCCATTTTCCACATGAGAGCACATTTCTGTAATTATACTGAGAGAAAACATAGGTCCATATGTAGCATTTCCTTTATATCCAGCTTTTCTGGATAGAGTTAGTTGGTATATCAAAGTATGCCTGTGATACACACATCATATTAAATGTTAATATAATAATCTTACATTAATGAATATTACCTTTGTTCAAGCATAAAACTGGTAAAGTGAATTGCCCGAGGAATTCATTTCCACCTATTAGACCTCGATTTTCAACAACAAACCGTATCAATGCCAATTCTGGTACATGCATAGTAAATGTGAATGTTTCATTCCATTGTGGGCTAAAGGCTGAAATATAGAGGAATGTATACAACAAATTATAGACACTATCTCTTAAGTAAATTTTTTCTCTATTTTTTTCCAACATTTTGTTAATAGTAATAATAGTTTGTGTTTTATCAGTTTAAAATGCCAAAATATTAAATAAGAGGGGAATAACAGAGGAAATAACCATATTTACTAGGTGTTTACTGTTGCTGGGTAACATTCTAGGAATTTTATATAAATGATATCATTTAATTTCACAATAATCCCATCAGAGTTATAATTATCTCCATTTTGTCTTAAGTGTTTCAGATAGATAGATTTTAAGTGGTAGAACAGGTTTAAGAGTCAATTCTTTATAGACAACAAAATTTATGCAGAAATTCCTAAACTAGTTCTTTCTTCTGTCTTCAATTTTCCTACTTTCTCTCTTACACACATGAAAGCTTGCACACACACACAATGATGATGATAAATGAGAGCCTAATTTTTAGTGACCAAAATAAAATAAGTGGTATGATCGAATTATGCAATTGAAATGATAAAACACTACTAAGAGAGATTAGAGAAGACAAATAAATTGAAAAATTATCCATGTTCATAAATTGGAAGTCTTAATATTGTTAAGTTTTCAATACCACCCCAAACAATCTATGGAGTCTGTGGTAGTCACCAAATCTGGTGTCAATTTAAGGATTAAGAGTGTAGGGGTGGAATCTAGGCTATCAATCTGGAGATAGCCAATGAGACTTCTGTGTGGGCATGGCCTTCTGAGAATTCTGGGAAATCTGGTACTTCCTTCTTGGAGGCAGGAGACACTATCTCTCTCAGTTTACTCCCTTGGAGACTCTACTGAGAAGGCCACTTCCTGGGAGACATTGCAGAAAACAAGCCACATGGATGCAACCAGACCTCTGAAGCCAGAGAAGCCACAGAGAGACCCCTGCCAGCGCTGAGATGCTTACAACGGCACTGGACCAAAGACTTTCTATCCACTGGCTTGTGATTGTCCTGCTTTGGCTTCATTGCATGTGTTTCGTTATTCTGAAGAGGACATATGGGCTAATATTGGACTTATGGTCTTGATCTGGACTGGCTGGGATGTTTTCTCCATGTTCAATTGCTCTTGTATATAAACCTCTTTCTTATACAAATATGTGTGTCCATGGATTTGTTTCTCTAGTATACCCAGACTAACACAGAGTCAATGCCCTTCCCATCAAAATTCCAACAGCATTCTTTAAATAGAAATACAAAAACCAATCCTCAATTTTACATGGAATGGCTAAAGGCCCCAATTAGCTAAAGCATTATTGAAAGAGAACAACAAAGTAGGGCACCTCACATTTTCTGATTTTCAAACATAAACTCTGAAGTTTTAAAAATCAAAAAAGCCTTGCACTGGTATAACAATAAACACATAGACCCATGAAATAGAATTAAGAGTCGAGAAAGAAACCCACACTTTCATAGTCAAATAATTTCTAACAAGGATACTACATACATCTAATGGGGAAAGAAAAATATCTTCAATAAATATAAAAAAATAGGCTTTCCACTTGCAAAAAATGAAGTAGCAGCAGGATTCTTGCCTCACACCACACACAAAAACAAATCCAGAAGAAATTAAAGACAAATATACAATACCAACTAAAACCATAAAATTCAAGGAAGAATATCAAGGGCAATGCTCTCAGGCTTAGTGTTAGTGCATAATCTAATAAAAGCACAAACCCATGAAATTTAAAAACGAAACTTCAAAACCTTAAAATTTGTGTCTATCAATATATTTCACCAAGGCAAAGATGGCCCAAGACACCACAGCAACTCCAACAGGAAAGTTAAAGATAGAACCTGTCTAAGTGAACATGTATGCATTTTAGTCTAAAAAGCTTTCCTACCCATGTATAGATTTCTTTTCTCCATAGTATTTTAAAATCTATACAATATTATTGTTGTTTTTATCATTAGGTGCCACCCATGGGGTTCTGACCCCAATGCAGAAACAAGAGGCAGTGCCTGGCCCAACACCATTCGCAAATGTTCCTGTTTAAGCCCACAGTTGCGGCCAGTAAGTCAGTCCATCTCTTTGAGGGCCTTCCTCTTCTCTCTGTCCCTCTACTTTACCAAGCACAAAGTCCTTCTCCAGGAAATGATCTCTCCTGACAACATGTCCAAATATAGTCTCACCATCCTTGCCTCTAAGGAGCACTCTGGCCGTACTTCTTCCCAGACAAATTTGTCTTTCTAGCAGTTCATGGTATTTTCCCTATTCTATGCCGGCACCACAGTTCAAGTGCAAAGATTCTTCTTCACTCTTCATATTCAATGTCCAACTTTCACCTGCACATGAGGCATTTGAAAATAAAATGACTTGGGAGAGGAGCACCTTAGTCCTCAAAGTTACATTGTTGTTTTTCAATACTCTAAAGAGAGTTGTGCAGCAGATTTACCCAATGCAAGGCATCTTTTGACCTCTTGACAGCTACACTGCAAGCAAGACAAAAGGTTGGTAACTTCAATCTTTACCCCACTTATCCTGAATATATCTATTTGTCCAATTGTGGGAATGCTTGTTTTCTTTATATTGAGTAGAAATCCATATGAAGGCTGCAATCCGTATTTTCATCAGCAATTGCTCCATGTCTTCCTCACTTTAAGCAAGTAAGGTTGTGTCATCTGCCTTCCTCCAATCTTGATGCCACATTCCTCTTCATATAATCAAGCTTCTCTAGTGATTTGCTCTGGCTATTGACTGAAGATGTATGGTGAGAGGGTACAATCCTGATGCACACCTTTCTTGATTTTAACCAGGAACTATCCCCTGGTTTTGTTTGCACAGCTGCTTCTTGATCCATGCACAAGTTCTGAATGAGCACAATGACTTGTTCTGTAACATCCATTCTTCTCAGTGCTATCCATCATTTTCTATAATCCACACTGTTTAATGCCTTGGCATAGTCAATAAAACACAAGCAAACATCGCTCTGGTATTCTCTGCTTTGAGCCAACATCCATTTGGCAGCAGCAATGGTATCCTTGTTGCACATCGTCTTTTGAATCTGGCCTGAACCTCTGGCCGCTCCCTGTCAATGTACTGCTGTAACTGTTGATGGGTGATCTTCAGGAAAAAAATGTACGTGTATGTGATATCAATGATATTGTTCTATAATATCATTTTATTGGGTCAGCTTTCTTCAGAAAAATGTACGTGTATGTGATATCAATGATATTGTTCTATAATATCATTTTATTGGGTCAGCTTTCTTCAGAATGGGTATATATATATATTAGTTTCTTTCCATCAGTTAGCCAAGTAGCTATCTTCCCAATTTCCTGGCACAGAAACATAAGTCCTTCCAGTACTTCGTCTGCTTGTTAAAATGCTTCAATTGCTATCTCATAAATTCCTGGAGTCTTATTTTTGGCTCATGCTTTCTGTGTAGCTTGAACTTCTTCCTTCAGCACCATTGGTTCTTGCTCATACGCGACCTCCTGAAATGGTGGAATGTCCACAAGTTCTTTTTGGTACAGTGACTGTGAATTCTTTCCATCTTCTTTTGATGCTTCCTGAAATAAATGTGTTGCCCATAAAAATCTTTCAATATTGCAACAGGAGGCTTAAAGCTTTCCTTAAGTTATTTCAGTTTAAGATATGCTGAGCATTTTCTTCCTTTTTGTTTTTCCAACTTGAGGTTTTATCACAGTTCATTATCATATTTTATGTTGTCTTCTCAAGCTGCCCTTTAAAATTTTCTATTCAGCTCTTAGACTTTATCATTTCTTTCATGTGCCTTAGCTACTCTACCATTAACAGCAAGTTTCAGTCTCTTCTGACATCCACTTTGATCTTTTCTTTCTTTCCTGTCTTTTTAATGACCTTTTGCATTCTTCATGAACAGTGTTCTTGATGTCCTCCCACAGCTCATCAGGACTTCTGTCATTGGTCTCCAATGCAGCCAATATGTTCTTGAGATCATTTCAAAATTCAGGTGGGATGTACTTTAAGGCAGACTTTGGTTCTCCTGGGTTGTTTTATGTTTTTTCAGCTTCCTCTTAAAATTATACATGAGCAATTTATAGTCTGTTCCACTGTCAGCCTCTGGCCTGGTTATAGCTGGTGTTGAACTTCTTTATTGTCTCTTCCAACAGATAAGTCAGTTTGATTTCTGTGTATTCCACCTAGAGAAATCCAGGTGCCTAGCTGCCATTTGTGTGGTTGAAAAAAGGGATTTGTTAGGAAGAAATCATTGTTTGTGCAAAATTCTATCATGAAGTCTTTAGTGTTGTCTCTATCAGTCAAGATGATCTTTCCAGATACTGTGGCTTCCTCTTTGTTTCCAAGTTTTACATCCCAAGCACCAAAAGTCATCAATGTGTTTTTATTGCATGTTTGATCAATTTCCAACTGAAGACATCGGTTGAATTCTTCAATGTCTTCATCACTAGCTTCCTTGGTAAATGTAACTAATAGTTGTACTGATTGGATTACTGTGAAGGCAGACACCACATACAGCTTGTACTGCAAGATAGATCTTTAAATATTCTTTTGGATCATAGATGCAAAGCCATTCCTCTTGATTGTGTAATTCCTGGCAAAATAAATTATTCATCTTCAGATTCAAATGGCCACAGTCCATTTCAGCTCACTTATGCACAGGATATTGATCTTTATGCATTCCATCTCATTTTTGAACACTTCCAATTTTCCTAGATTCATACTTGGCACATCCCAAGTTCCGATCATTAGCTGATTTTTGCTGCTGTTTCTTTTTACCTTGAGTCCTGCCCCATAAGCAAATGTAGACCAGATGGCTCCACTTTCATAGCCTTGACCCAACTCAAGTCACCATGGTCAACTACACTTGAAGAAAAGCCACTCCTCTGCAGGCACATTTTGAGTACCCTCCGATCTGAGGGGCCCATGTTCTAGCACTCTCTCCGACAACATTCAATCTCTATACAAGGCCTTCAGTATCTGACAGGGTTTCAAAACTATGCATAACGGAATATATAGAAACTGTTAAATGGTGTGCTTTGTGACTTGCTGTGTATATGATCAGAAGCAACCACAAAATAACAACATTGGGGGGGGGTATAAAATACACAAACCAGAATACCAGAATTTGATAGGTTAGAGTATAGTATTTTCTAGTATTACCAAAAGTAAACAATTACTTCTAAATCTTATGCACATGTGACCCTCTTTGTCCTGGCCACTCATATAGTTCACCAGCATAACCCTAGGAGTCTAACCACTAGATATCTAAGCCATCTGTCTTGTCCAGCCATTTGTACATTTACTCTTGCAAAGTGTTTCCCACATATATCATTTATTCCTTTGCTAGTGACACCCCATCTACATAACCTATATTTACATCACCTATCGAAATCATATCTTGACTCAGCTTTGTACTTCTCATTTTCCCATCATACATGCCTTCCTACTTAATCTGAAGAAATATTTTCTTTACAGTTCAACTCTATTGTTATCTCCTAGCTTTAAAGCCATAATTTATTAACTTTCTTCAGAAATTTCCTAACATCTTAACATGGCTATACTGCCATTCCCAACATAACTTTCTTTTTATTCCATACATTCTTTCCTTTTTAAGAAACAACAACAAAAAACTGTCATAGATTCAAGTCTATCTCATAGCAGCCTTACAAGACAACTGAGAACTTCTCCATAGAACTTCTGAGCCTCTAAGTATTTATGGAAGAAGACAGCTTCATCTTTCTCTCATGGAGCAGGTGACAAGTTTAAACTACTTGCCTTGAAGTTCATAGATGAATTCTGTAACCCACTATTTGACCAGGGCTCCTGGAATCTTCTTGAAATACCCTATATTCCACTCATTTTGAACCTGATTTTCCCAATCATGTTTGAATTTTTTCTTCATCATACCACCGCACCTATATTAGTTCTTTTGTTTTTATCGCTGATCTCTGCTAAAATGTTATTCATTCTTCAAGGACCATCTCCAAATTTTCCCTTTCACAAAATTCTTTGTACTCTCCTGAAAGCATTAATCAGAGCCTATGTGCTAATTAATTTATTTGTATCTCATCTTCAATTTTGAAACACAAACTATCTGAAAGGTATTTAGTTGAAGCATGCATTATAATAAATCAATAAGAAATTTAAAAATATCCTGATATTATCACCTTATTTTTAACATTACAGAGGTGTAATAATGCTTGATAAACTTAATTGAATTTCTGCTGGGATAAGATATAAAACTCAGCACGTTATCAAAAGTCTAATGGGAGCAGGAATCATAGTATGATAGGGGGTGCATTGAATAAATAAAGGCTCTGTTTATATTGCCCTGAAGATTGAAGCAAGGGTGAAAGGAACAAAAGAGTTAGGCTCCTATACATGTAAAAACAGCAGCACTGAGTGTTTCTTGATACGGCCTTTGTCATGCACTTTCAGCTCTCCTGTTCTTTGCTTCACTTGTGTTGTTGTTTGCCTTTGAGTCCATTTCGACATATAGCAAACCTATGTGACGGTATAGAAATGCCCCCATAGGGTTACTCCTCGGTTTTAATATTTATAGGACCAGATCACCAGGTCTTTTCTCCCAGAAAGCCACTTGGTGGATTCAAATTGCCGACATTTGGTCATTTAACAATTCATGGCTTCCCCATGGTGCCACCAGAGTTCCATCCTTCAAGCCCCAAGAGCTACCAGGGAAGGCAGAAAGCCATTGCCAGTGTGCCTTTCAATTGATAACATCCAGTGAGACAGAAACAATGCCCCACCTCTTTGTCACACTGTTAGCACTAACGGTCATTCTGGAAGTGTGGACAGGGAACAGAAAGGCAAACCTCTGACATTGCTGGGAAGTATTGAACACACAGAGCAAGGCCAGGTAAAATGCCCCCTGCTCCTTTTCCAGTGTTATTTAGCCCTGAAGTGTAATTCCAGACTTTGATAGGAAGCCTACTATATTTCTGAAATGCCCACTCACAGAATATGCCAAATGCAAATCCGTCTCAGGCCTTCTCCAAGGTGATTGTGATGAAGGAAAGGTCAATCGCAGCAAGCCACCCTTTACTAACTCCTTCAGCTATTTCAGCATCAGAGAGAAAATGACAATGCCACTGGTCTATTATATAAAATGTCCTGGGATGCTGAAACCCTGAAAACCTAACCAAAGTCATTTATTCCTTTCCTACATTTCCCTTCTGGGGAAAAATGACTGAATTTTTAATCCACACATTGTCTGACTAGGTTTCTATGGCACCCTTTCTGAATAAGAAGTCACAGACCTTTGATCTAAAATAACCCAAGCATTAAGGTAAAAATGTGTAATATGCTGTGTCAGAATGATCTCATTTTGAAAATTGTATTCAAAGATTAAAATCTAGGCAGATTTTTCAGAAGCCAAAATGTTTCCTTTGGTTCATGATATAGGGGAAAAGAGAAAAGGAACAAAAGTAATAAATAATTTAAATAAGTAATAAAATGTGTGTGCATAATCTAAAAATATACCTAAACAAAATTTTAAAACATTGCCAAATTAATCTTACCACACAGTAATGGACTGAATTGTGTGCCCAAGCAATATGTGTTATAAATCCTAACCTCTATGCCTGTGATTATAATCCCATTTGGGCATGGATTGTCATTGGTGTGTGGATGAGCAGGATTAGTGTTGGGTGTGTGTTTTGTTTGTTTGTTTAATCATTTTATTGGGGGCTCGTACAATTGTTATCACAATCCATACATATATCCATGTCACGCACATTTGTACATTTGTTGCCATCATCGTTCTCAAAACAATTTTCTTCCTACTTGAGCCCTTGATATCAGCTCCTCATTTTCCCCCTTCCACCCCCTCCCCCTCCCTCATGAACCCTTGATAATTTATAAATT